ACGGCGTCGTTTTTGTGTCACCCCTCAGGTAGGGCAGTGAAACCGGTTGGCGAATCGGATCCAGAAATTGCCCGTCTTAAAAATAGCCGTGATCTCTTCGGCTGGTTTGAACCATGATTGTATCTGTAAACTTATCACGGCCATGTAATGCTTATCCTGGCGAAGCCAGGGGAGACATCGCAGGGTCTAGGATGAGGAGAATGAAACCTGCTTAAGCCAACGTTCTTTCTGAGAGCGATGCTCGTTGTGCTGTCAAAGCGTAGCTTGATAAATGCAGTCCGTGCCTGGTGGATGGTTAGGGCTGGTTGTCTGTGCCCTAGTCCATATGACCCTGTCTAATAAATCATTTCCTGTTTGATAGCAGGAAATAATCCTTGCTCTTCATCACGGCAACAGGCTGAGACGCCAGCTGATGTCATGCAGTACTAGAGCTGAAAATCTAATACCCGAGTAATAGTCTTCTGGGTGTTTACAGAGTATACCAGAAACAGTCAACACATGGTGTAGACTTTTTTCTGTTTCAGAGGAGCAGGGCTGAAACACGCCCTGTTTTCTCACCGTTCTGCTTTAGCAAGTGGTCTTCGCTGTTTACTCTTTTGATTTAGTGTCATGTGTATCACTGTCTCTGATGTACCAGACCCAGGAGTCATTGGACTGTTCTGTGGCAATTGAAATCACTAAACAGACTTAAGAACTTTAAGGAGAAAGTAGCTTCTTTTTTGGGTTAGTTCTTGCTCTTTTGCTGGGTTTGAATGGTGCATAAAGGGCCCTAACAGAGCCAGCACAAGGAGGCACTGCCCGTTTGTACGTGGTAAACTGCGTATCAGCTCACATCTTCTCCAAAAGTGAAAGACTAAGTTCTGTTCCAAAGAAACAGATGCTTACAGTGTTCCAGCACTTGCCACAGCAGAGCCGTAGAGTCTGCTGCACTGAATCATTGTTTTGAAGTAAATTACTCTTTGATTTCGGGTGGATCTGGTGAGATGAGCTTTGCTTCCAAGAGAGCGATGCAGAGCAGCAAAATGAGAGATTCTGCTGTTTCTTCTCTCCTGGCTACTGTTTACTAGCTTTCTTTTGCCTGAAACACATCAGAGCATCTGGATAGTGGCAAGAGTATCTGCACTACAGTGTCTAATAAAAACTCCTTCCTGCAGCTGAAGCTCTCCACCTTGCTCCCTGATATTACCATAAGAATGATTAGGAAAAGATACTGACTGAATATGGAAAATACCTGTGGAGCTATGGAAGCTTTAGTTAGTGTTGGTTAACTCTGGCTAACCAACTGCCTTTTTTAAACTTACGTGAACTGTTCGTTCAAACTAACAGTTTTAATTGTCCCGTAGTGGTATAGGCATTCCAAGGAGCAAAGTGTAATAAAAGTTAATAAGCACTTAAGAGCAGAGGAGTAACGGTGATACCAACCCATCCACAGGCCTGTGTATGCAATATGATGGCTTAGATCAGTCAGTTTTATTGAAACTAGCTCAGCAAACAAATTAAAAATCCCTCCCTAACTTTGTCCTAGAACTTTTCCTGATGCTTATGATTTAGGTATGTTTTCTGTCTAGTGGTTTTTTTTTTCTCCCTACCTACTGGAGTGATAGTTAGAATTTCTCACTTGGATATCAAGAGCCTAAATCCTTCTAGAGAAGCCAAACAGTCTTATAAGCTGTCTCCCAGCACAGGGTTGGAAAAGTGATAGTGCTAGTTTCAGTGCCTTGTAATCACAGGCATCCTGTATTGGCTCTGCTGTTAACAGGGTTTACTGATGCCAGAACTCATGGTTCAAAGCGTCTGGGTCTGCAATGAAAAAACTCAGAATGGATTTCCAAATCTTTCCATAACAAATGCAAGAGATTGGTAAGGAAAACTGCACAGACAAACCAGTAGTAGTTCCAACTTAGTACTCAGAAGCTTGTTCCTCTCACTTACACTTTTTTTTTCGTGTGCTAGTAAAATTCAGCAGTTTGTTAATCACTATTCATAAAAGGCTAGAAATACTGTGTCATGTACAAAGCACCGCCTAAGACTTGAAATAAATTGCCTTCAGTTTTTTGGGGTGAATGTCAAGGAGCAGAAAAACTGGCCGTCAAAAACCAGTCAGAGCAACAGCTTAATATCTCTTTGCGCATGCAAAACGCTCTTGCGCAGCACTTAATTTTTCGCTTGTGTTACAGAAAGCAATAGACCTTGCTAGCAAGGCAGCACAAGAAGATAAAGCAGGAAACTATGAGGAAGCCTTCCGCTTGTACCAGCACGCTGTGCAGTATTTTCTCCATGTTGTTAAATGTAAGTGTAATGTGTTGGATAATTAATGAGCGTTTAGTAGTCGAGTCGCCCAGAGTAATCTCATACGTTGACATCTGTATTTAAATTTTTACTTTCATTATCGGTTGATGCTTGCTAATTGTAGTTTGACCGAGGTCATGTATTTTGCAGGTTTTGTCTTTACTGTGTTGTGTGCTTGCTCCGTTCTCATAAGAAATCAGATTACTTTTAACTTGTGTTTTGTTTGAGTGTTTTTTTAAGACAGGGAGGCAGGGGTTTGCTGTCTGGCCCCTGGACTTTATAGCAACGTTTCAGGCTGGCCACTGCGCATGACAAAATGTGACAATAAGTACAGGGATCCCTGTATTTCTGTTGTGCTGGAAAACACGTGTTACACAAGAAGTCTTTGTTGTATCTGCGGAGCATTTTTCACTCCTTAACTCATGCTGGTTTCCGTTGTACAACCTCTCTGTTGGCGTTTTTAGCCCCTTAATGTCATAGTCTTGCTGTTCACCTTGGCTGACAAAATGTAGGAGTTGGATTTGTGTGTTGTAATTTTTCTTCAGTTTCCATATTCTCACAATTATTATTTTATGCCTTTCTTTTCACACTTCTGTGTACCTTTTGTGTCATGTCTTGTGTTTGTATGCAAGGAGTGGGCTTTCTTAATGTAGGTACAGCCCTAACCTAAGTGGGCTGGGGCTGCTCACCTGACATAAATGTACTCACAGATCTCCATGATTTGAAAAAAAACACTATTTTTTTTATAGTCACTTAGGATAATTTGTGTTTATCACTTTCTATCCATTTATATCTTACGGACTTCATCAGAATATCACTTTCTGTGCTTTTAACAATACAAACTTTTGGAAATTTAACATCTAACATTAAATTTTAATTACTGATTTGAAATACTGTAATAGTGGCTAAGAGAACAGTGTGGCTGTTGGACCACATCTAACTCTTTCAAATGTTTTATGTAAATTTTTTCTTTATGATATGATCATCTTTTCAAATTAGCAGGCTATGTAAAAATAAAGTATGTTTCTCAATAAAAATTTCTCAGCACAAGCAGCTTCTTGATGAGCTATTTTAGAAAAGGAGTTATTAAGACAATGTGTAGTGGCTTGAAAGGCTGGCAGAAAATCTTCCAGTGCCATTGTGCTTAATCCATTACAGTCAAATTTCAAGCTAAAGCAATGTTCAGGTGTGTATTTGATTTCTGGTAGGTGATGGCATCCTTCCTGTCCCCTCTTCCCATGGTATAGCGGAAATACAAGTAGCTGAGGTGTTTGGTTATGTGGTGAGAGGGGTATATTGTTAAGATATAAAGAAGACTGAGATTTAGTCGTGTTTTCTGATTGATGCACATATGTTTTGCTGTTAACAAAGCATTGTTTCTCTTCAAACTCTTAGATGAAGCACAGGGTGATAAAGCAAAACAGAGCATTAGAGCAAGATGTAGAGAATACTTGGACAGAGCAGAAAAGCTGAAAGAATATCTGAAAAAGGGAGAAAAAACTGCACCAAAACCACTTAAAGAGTCTGGTCCTACTGATGGAAAAGGGTATGTTTTTGGAGAAGGTAAAGCAAAATACTTCCTGAACTCAGCTTATTCTAAAATTCAAGTCTTCAAACGTAATTTTAACTAGTGTTTTTGACATGCTTCAGATGACTACTAATGCAGAAATACAGTGGGCTACTAGAAGAATAAGAACATGAATTAGCATCAGGGGCATTTCTGTGTTTGTTTACTAAAATGTGCAAATAGTTGCATAAGAAACTCGCTGAAGAACGAAAGCCGTTTCAGACTAACACATGCTTATTGGATTTGGTGGCAGTGAGCCCCATGACCCTTAATTTTTTTATACATGTGAATACTTACTAACAAGAAAATAAATTCAGACTGAATTTATTGTGGCCCGAGTTTGAGCTGTCTCACGCTTGACAAGAAGTGCAAAGCTCTGTGTAGGGCGAAGTTCTGTAAGGTGAATTGAATCACTCTAATGCCTTGCTGCTGCCTAGTCTCTCTGCTGCTTTGCTTTTAGATTTGGGTTTCATTTTGCGTATCGGAGAGCTGAACAGGCAGAGCCACCTGAACAAGCAGAGCCACTTTTACATTTGCTACTGCCTTTACTGGGATAGAGGGGAAAGGTTCAGGATGATACCTTCTGGTGGGATTGCCCTTTTTAGCAGTCCTGCACAGCTAGAGTTGCTCAGTTGTCTCTTGAAACTTCACCTGACTTTCAGTCTCCTTCATTGTCTGCTTGTCTCATCAGTTTTATTTTTCGAGCTGTACTGTGTTCTGCTGGTTTATAATAAAAGGAGTTGGTAATATCACAGAGGCTACATGTATTTTCATGACCTCCACTGCAGTTGTTTGCTATCTAGTCCCTTTTTTTTTTTTTTTTCCTTCTTCCAGTTTCCTTTGCTCTGACAAGACAAGGGTGTAGTTTTGTAGTACTAGATGGAATTGGCAAAGTCCCATTGCAATGCCAGGTAGGGGATAAGCACCAATGTCTACAAATAAACCACTTTAGTGCTTCCACGTTGCTTGGTACAAGGGCTTTTGTTTGCTAGAGTCTGGCTCAAACATGTAGAAGTGTGTTAAGAGGGCTCAGACCCGTAAGAGGAAGTTGAAATGGTGAGGAGAGTGAATTAGAAAGAATGTGGTGTTGAAAAGCAGGAGAACAATGTTGTAAACTTGTAGAGATCTGAAAGCATTTCAAGGTTTCTTTCATTCCTCAGACTACTGTTTTTTTTGCTTTTTGCATTCTGATTTTTATCCAAAGACAGTAGTCTCTTGTACTGTATTTCAACATTTTCTCTTGTTTCCAAACCAGGAATGACAGTGATGGGGAAGGGGAGTCAGAGGATCCTGAAAAAAAGAAGCTACAGAATCAACTTCAAGGTAATTCTGAAGCATCCTTTTCTTTAAATAGGGGTGGCCTCAGTCAAGTATATTCCTATATTTTTGCCACCTCAGTGTTATGGAGTAACTTATTGTCTATAAGTGTCTTAACTAGTAGGTACTGTTCACATACAAAAGCATAATCTTTATGGAAGTATGGGTTTGTGTCCCATGGAATTATGCAATGACTATGTTGGAATTTATCTCCTGTACTCTGTGCTTCGTGTTAAAAGTGTACCATTTATCAGGATAGATTTTTCCAAAGGGAGAAGTTGCAAGATCCCAGGTAGCTATTGGCTAAACTGAATCAGTATTTTTTTACTCTTAAGTGCATTCGAGTATTGCCTGGAGGATAAGGTAACGGACATTCATACAAACACATAGTATAAGCAGGACCATTTTCACAAAAAAGCTTGTGTTCAAGTTTAGGAGTTGAGAACATGGGTTCTTGCTTGTTTATAGCAATGGGCAGCATTTTCTCATATGCAGTGATGATGCTCTCCCCGTTGAGTAACGTCATAGTTTGGGCTTTTGAACACAAATGCTGAATACAGTCAGTGATGCAACATGTAGCAGCTACCAGTAGTTTTGTACACAGTACAAAAGAGGCTTTGTTTGCTATTCGTTACCCTTTAATGGTGAAGAATTGTTCAGAGCTTCCCTGCCAGAAGGTGCTTATGGATCTGAAGAAACTTCATTGTTCTCCCCCTGTTTTTCAGTGTAACAAAGATCAAATGCATTTACCAGATTTCAGGAGCTATTGTATCGTATTTGGAAACTGTGCCATGCTTTTTCGACATCCTGGCACGTTTATTTAATCCAATGCACAGTTCTGTGGAACAGGTTGCTGTGTTTTAAAATGACAGAAAAATTATGAGCATCGGACTCTTACCTTGTATCTCACTATAAAGACTTTATTTCCTGCCACGTGAATCTGACCTTCAGTTCTTACTTCAAGAAAGAGTTTCTTGCACCCACTGCTTCCTTGATACTTTCTCTAAAATGACAATACTCTTGCTTATACATTTGATTGCTTGAAAGTCTGAAGTGTCATCCTTGGTACCTTTAAACTTAACACAGGAGTCTATTACTCAGATAATACAAGCTCTGGGCAGCCTTCAAATCACTTATCTTCATTTTGCTTACCACAATAGCCACAGAAATTTCCTGTATTTAATTTTGCTGTCTTGGTACTCTTAGCTGATTTTTGCCTTATGGAACTTCCACAAATCTATGGGTATTTATCAAGATTTTAATTATAGTAGCTACTTGGCTTATTGTGGGAGAAGTGACCAGTAACATTCAGACTGGATAGTAGTTGTGGGTCTGTTGTTGTCTTCTCTTGCTCAGTATTTTAAAGACCTTTTGCACTCCATTGCTTAATCTTCCAGCTGTTAATTTACACCTACAAAATCAGGATGCCTATGATTCCAGTTTCATTTTTGTCCTGGTACAGGTGATCTCTTACCATGCAGTAATTTCAGTTACCATGGTATGTCTGGTGCAGATAACTCTGATATTTCAACTTTGAAATAATCTCCTGTTCCTATCTGAACTGCTTCCTGTTCTGCTAATTATTTTAGTGATGGAGCACATAGTTCTGTTTAAGAAAGACTGACATGTAATCAACCTATCAAAGAAATTGAATGCGTTGGAAGTGGGTACTTGAATTAATTCCAGTATATAGATTGCAAGCTAAGACAGTTTGCAATCAACTTTCTCTATAACATTCTTAACATATTTAATAATATGATTTTGCTTTTGGAGTCGAAATTCCAAATTGTTAACAATTGCAGTTGTTAACAGAAATTGTTCATTTCAGTCTGATGGAAAAAGAATGCAGCAAAAGAAAAAAATCTCAAAGGTGATGCTTAAAAAGTAAGCAAGTATTATTTGCTCATTCGTTAGCCAGCGAGTAACAGTAAGTTTTCAGTCCTGTAGTAAGTTACTTCACAGAGCTCTGAAGGTATAAGGTTAAAATGTCAAGAAAATAGCTGGTGAAAGCCATTTATGAAATTATGGAAAGCCCCTTGTAGAGAAATAGGGCAACTGAAACTTTCAGTGTGTTCGAGTACTTAGATAAGCATTGGGTTGGTTGGCATTTGTTCATATGAGAAAATTTCTCTTACCTTTTTGGCTACAGTTCCAAGTAATATTCAGTCACTGGGTCAGATCCAAGTTGTCCTGTGTAAAAGCAGTCAAGACAAAATCATTTTTAGCATGTCAGACTAACCAGTCTGAATTCTGATGAGAAGGCTAAATTACAGCTCAGTTAGCTAAAATCAAGCTGAACTTATCGATTGAGCAAGATGAGACTTGGTGATAAAGTTTAAGAGAACATGTCTAGACTCAGAAGATACTTCTGCTGCAGCCAAGCAGGCTACAGATAACCTTTCAGATGCTTTCAGCCCTAGCTCTCAAAGCTCTTTACTGTTAGATGGTTCGACTGTGTGCTGCACATCTGGTGATACCCAACAAGTTGCTTCATCTGCCTTATAAATCCTGGGCTAGTGCAGCCACATTCAGATTTTTCAGGACGTACAACGGTGGTTTAGTGAGGAGATGGTGCCTGGGTACCTGTTAGAGCAGGCACTCCTTTGTGACTGCTAAACGCACATTTGCTGGACGGTTACGGAGTGGTTTTGACCATTGCAGGATTTCTGCAAACTCTCAAGTATTCTGGTTGTCCATGCTGTATTGTGGTAAAACAAAAAAGATGTATGTGGAAATAACATCCATTTGACTAATGGTATTCAGTGTTTATATCTGCTTAGAAATGCTTTGGTTTTATTTGGTATGGGCATGGGCATAAATTTTTTAAACTGTTTTTCCAAAACGGACGTTACTGAAGTTGTAAAAAGATATGTGCATCACTAACGTATGCAGTCTTTTCTTACAGGAGCAATTGTTATGGAGCGACCAAATGTCAAGTGGAGTGATGTTGCTGGCCTTGAAGGTGCCAAAGAAGCACTTAAAGAAGCGGTGATCTTGCCCATTAAATTTCCACACCTGTTTACAGGTCAGAATTACAGTGTTTATTTGCTGTTGGTCCAATCCGGACCAGGACTGGGGGCTGAGAAGTGTTGTGCCTGTGTATCAGAGACTCAAGCTGAGCTCTTGAAGGGATTGTGACCCATCTGACAGAAGTTTCGTGGATAGGTGTGAAAAACTTCTGAGTAAATTAGAGAGGCTTCATCAGAAAAATAGGGTCAGTCTTTCTACAGTGTTTTGAAGACTGCTGGTTTCTCTCTTGCAGGAAAGAGAACACCCTGGAGAGGGATTCTTCTGTTTGGACCACCAGGAACAGGAAAGTCTTACTTAGCAAAAGCTGTGGCGACAGAAGCAAACAATTCTACCTTCTTCTCAGTATCTTCCTCTGACCTTGTCTCCAAGTGGTTAGGAGAAAGTGAAAAGTAAGTTGGAGTTGCCAGAGGTCCAGGAAAACATTGGCAAGAAGAAATTAATACAGAGCTAGATAAGTTGCTGCAAGGAAATTGAATTTGAGAGAAGGGTCATGTCTTTAAAAAAAAAAAAAAAAATTCAGGTGTTTCTATGCTTCATGCTGCAGTGCCATGTAAAGATACCATGACGTTGTGGAGTCTCCTTCTCTGGAGATATTCCAGACCCGCCTGGACAAGGTCCTGTGCAGCCTGCTCTGGGTGACCCTG